TCTCTAATATTCTACTGCAACAAGTAAGCCTTGCTGCATAGCATTACATGGGAGGTGAAAGTGACACTGATGAGAAAGACGCCCCTTTGCCCAGATAAATACATATATTTATTTGCCCCCCTCCCATCAGCAAATTTATACAAACAACCATAATCTTGTAACTGTGCATTCATTTCTTTAAAGATTTTTCCTATCATATGAAACTTTCCTGGCCTGGGGTGTATTCAGTTTACTTAGAGTAAATTAAATTAAATTAAATTAAAGTAGAACAATTTCAATCCTAATTGCAGAGAAATGCCACCCCTTTCTGGGTGACTGGTTTTGAACTACAGCTCATTACCTGGAAATAAGAGTGTTGCCTCTCCGAATTCCTGTGGTTTGGAAAATTCTTAGCCATCTACAGATACATAGATTGAATCATAGTAGAGAAGAGAACATCTATAGATGATGAATTTCTCCCTCTTTCCATTTAGGTTTAATATGCTTTGAAGGATTAATTGGACCTCTCCCGCCTGTTCCTTAGAAGAAATCCATGAGGAAACCCATTTCAGAGGAAGCTTATTGCAGTGCAGTGAGCTGTACCTCATCCTCTGTGCTCTGGTTACGCAGAGTCAGCCCCTCTGTCTCCAGGCTCTTTTAGCTTTAGGCTACAGCCTGGCTTTCTATACATCCATCTCTTTTGCAGAGTTGATCCAAACGGTCTATAAATAACACTCGGCTTAACACAGGTTAAATTAGACCTCCCTGGTGTGAAGCATTATTCCCACGGAGAGGACTTTAAAAGGCAAGACAGTTGGTACCAGGGCTCGGACTACTGTACTATCTCAGCAAATGGAATGAAACAGCAATGCGCTTGGCTATCAGAGACACACCGCGCGCGCAACCTGTTCCAGACCCTTTGAATCTCAGCGTCTTCCTCGGTGCTAGGAAAAGTGGCCCACTTGCTAAGGCAGGATTAAGAGCGATCTGCAAAACCCAAGCGTATTTCACCAGCACCTCCTAGGGGCCGCGTGCGGGTATGAGGCTCGGAGGTGGGTCCAGGCGCAGACCCTTTCCTTGAAGTGTCAGTTTCACTCTCCCATACGCACAAATCCAGCCGGGCTGTGCCGCCCAGAATACGAGCTAGTTTGTTGAAGTAGTTTGGCGTCTCTAGGAGGCCTTTCAGAGGTTTAAATAAACTGCGCGGAAGACACATTTGATCGCTTGAGGAAATGCACATTCAACACACACACACACACACACACACACGGATTTCAAACTTGGGGACTCCTAAATATCCTTTAAGAGCAAAGCTGCGTTATGACACCAAAGTACTCAGACACACACACACACACACACACACACACACACACGGTTTAATCTGTAACGTTCCAGGGTCCACACCCGGTTCGCGCTGAAGCTGACGGAGCTTCTGAAAGGGTCTCTGGAAAGGGTCTACGTGCTCTTGCCTGGCTGCTGGGAAGGAGGGCTGGGAGGCGCTGATGCGCGGCAGCGCTGAGTGTCTGTAGGAGTCGCCGTTCCAGAGAGTTCATTACTCTTTAATTGCTCTGATTTTAGATCAGCAGAGCGTGCCGGGCGCTGGTGCAGACAGAGATTGAGGGCGGGCCCTGCGAGAGCGAGCGAGCGGTTCACCCTTCCGAGCAGTCTAGGCGCTTTGTAAGTAATTGACCCAGAGCCGGGAGGAGGGATAGCTTCTTCTCCCAGGCAGCTGCAACCCTGGCGCGCGTCTGAATCCCGCTGGGTTCTGCGAGCCGGTCGCGGTCCCTTTCCCCGTTTAATTCGCGGCTCTTCAGCGCACCGCTGGTCCTGGGGGGGTGGGGGGTGGGGGGCGGGCGGATTCAGAGGGTGGGAGGGGGGTGAAGGGAGAAGAAGACGCGCCCCGGCTGAAAGGCTGAAATGCAAGCCTCCCCGGCTGCCACCGCTTCTCCCGGACCCTGGCACCTCGCGAGCCTCTGGGGGCGCACGCCCCGCCCCGCAGCCACAGACGACAGAAGAGGGCAAGTGTAGGGCTGGCGAAGGGGTTGGAAGCTTCGCCCAAGGGCCAGGCTGCCACGAGGCAGCCGCAAGAGCCCGGCCGCGGAGCTTCCCACCTGCTGCCGGCCGGGCCGGGCCGCAGCTTCCCCCTCCCTTGCGCGGCCGGACCGGCGGCTGGGGCGCGGTGGAGGGGGGCGGGGGCCGAACGGGAAGGAAGCGGCGGCAGGTTCTCCCCGGCGGCAGCCCCGCGGCCGCGGGCGCAGCATCCTCCCTCCCCGCGCGGTCCCCGGGGCCAGGCGCGCTGCGATTGGCCGGCGCGGCCGGGGGCGGGGCCAGGCGGGCCGGTGGCTCGCGACGCCTCAAAAGAGCCCAGGAAAGCTCAGAGCGCCCTGGAGCCCCGGCCAGCGCGCAGCCCGCCCGGCGCCGGCAAGCTGGGTCTTGGGAATGCTGGTTCGCCCTGGCTCGCTCGCTTGTACAAACTCCTGGATCTTACATGCCTCTGTAACCCCCCACTTCCACGCCATGTCCCCATGCTCCTGCGCCGGCAACAGGTAAGGGCTGCTGTGTGTTTTCTTCCCTCCTTTCCTCTCGTTGCCTGTGCGGCCCGGGGAGTGGACTCGGGCTGCCGTCCCCGACCCTCCCCTGCCCCGCCGCCCCAGAGGTGCCCAGCTGTCACTCTGCCTTAGCGCTCACCCACGCTCCGGAGTCCCAGACCATGCCTATAGAGTTTGTGCGCGCACCAGAACACCCCCAGAGCTAAAAATACTGAGACATGCTTGGAACAGTTGAGCAATAGAAACAGATTTCTCTGCAGCATCTGTTTGTGCTCATAACTTCCAATGCACCAGCTGTAGCGAGATACTGAGTTTGGAGACAAGGGCGAGGGAGCCTCTGTTCGCTCTCGCTCTAAGGGGAAAAAACGGGGGGAGCGGGTGCGTCTAGAGTACTGGTCTCAGACTTTGGCAAACCTGGGGACGCAGCGCTAGATCTGGATCCTTGGTGTCTTCCCCCCCACCCCCGCCCCTTTGTCATTGCTTCAAGTGTAGCTTCGAGTACCAAACCCAGCGAGCGTCTCAAAGTTGCTTTGCTGGGAAAGAGAGCGGGAGCTCGCGTTGGATTTCAGCCGGAAGACAGCAAAACTTTCACATCCTATGTCACTCTCCCCTGAGCAACTTGTTATTCTTTGTAATAATAATATTAACACCGAAATTGGAAGACAGTGTGGTTTCAGGGAAGCACAGTGGTCAAACGACTTGATTCTGCAAAAGATTGCATCATAACATAGAGTCATCATGACAGTTGGAAAAAAAATCGAGATAGGAAACGGGTAGTTTATCGTCTGTGTCTGGGTAATCCTGTCAGTAGGATGGTAACTGGAGTACCTGTGAATTCTGGGGATTTTCATAAACTCAGAATTTACCTTTTAGGAAACAAGGCATTATTTGAAAACGTGTTTTGGGTATGCGAGGAGTGCATATTGCTTTGTACCACTTGTTTTCTTTTCACGTTAATAATCGGTAGGCTGTCAGATTTCCTCTCACTAACCGCTGTTGTGTGTCTGCTGTATGTTACCAGTACACTTGCTAGCTTTTTCCTGCTCGCTTCCAACCCTGCGCCAAGTGTTTTATTTATATTTGGCATTATCCGGAAAAATCCCCAGGCTCAGGAGTAAGAGATGTTACTTTAAGGATGGTGGGAGGGGTGAGAGATGGGGTCAAGGTCATGTCACTTTACTTTCAGCCCCTCCCCCTCCCCATTTGCGAGCACTTTCTTTTGTATTATTGCTCTCCATAGGGATATTTGCTCCGAGCTCTTGTGAATGTGGCATTAAAACACCACACACACACACACACACACACACACACACACACACACACACACTCGCTATTTCTACTTCCTTCAGACTTTCTGGTTGTAGAATCCCCTGGTTAGCTGTAGAGTCCTTGTATGACTTTTGAGTAGCATGGGAGACTGACCGTGTTTTTACCTGAGCAACCGGACTGTTTCAAGCTTTTTTCTTTTTAGTGTATATTTTTTGTTGGCCAAAGAGGTATATTTTTCAGCCTGTGCACACGTTGACTGAGGCTACCTGCATCGTTGGATGTCAAAGTTATCGGGCTCACGTAGACGAGTGGGTATCCCGCCTCCCTTACCGCCCCTCCCCCTCCCTTCTGTTTACTGAGCCTCTGAGAGGTTGCTTTGCTAGCCTAGAGCTCTAATAGCAACGGTGTGCCCAGAGCACACTCAGGCCGGTCTATATGGCGTCCGCAGGGGAATAGCTGCTCTAGACACTCAGCCGACCTCTCTTTCATCCCAGGCCACTTTCTTTTACCATCCTTATTTCCTATCCTTCCTTAGAAACTCTCTTATTTGCTCCACGCCACGACCCTATGAGGGGACCCACTTATTCTCACTTATTCTTCATGGTTACATGTTTCTGTTCTTTTATACTCCGTATTGGGAATATTTCCTTTATGGTAAAAATGCTTTGGATGCCTTCCTTTACACCGTGTTGTCTCCTCGACCGTGTATGTGGGTCCACAGCTCTCTCTCCTTTAACATCTACCTTGAGAGTGAAGCCCTGAACTATTTTTTTCCGTTGCTTATGCTTCATTTTGGCTCGGCCTATAAATAGTCTTAACATGAAGAACACCACATGTAACCTCTCAGTTTCCCAGGAATACGTTCTACCTCATTGGTTATAGCCTGGGTAAAAATGATGATCTGTGTCTATTACATTTCTATCAGGCCCTTAAATACTTTAGCTGAAAACGGGGGAATTTACACATTGTTCATCAACCCAGTATCAGTTCTCCTGAGTTGTGCCCATCGAGGACTCCAATCACCTGATGTTTTCATCTATTCTTAATTAAGAACGTATCAAGACTAGAGCCCTAAAATGAAGTTACGTGAAAGCCCTATTCCTAATTAAAGTACTTTCCCAGATGCTTGTGAGTCGGTGATTTTCAGTGTGAGAAGGGCAGGCAAGGAAGTTTTCTGCTCACTTGCGGCCACTCAGGCATGCGGGCAGGTTGATAGAAAAGACATTCCTCAGAGCGGAATATTAAGACAATTACCCTCTCGCACGTTGGCAGGTGTGCGAGGGTAATCGTCAGCTCCACCAGAGTCCGAATGCACATCATGTGTGTGTGCCCGTAGACACACGTAAATCTGTTGTGGAGCATACCTGCTGGAAGTGACAGAAGTTTCCATTTTGCCAAAAAAGATCCCTTTTTCCCCCTTTCCAGGCAGAAATGGTAGAATTTCTAAATGATGCTCCACATATGGAACAAATTCTGTCATTAGCAATGGAAATAAGACAATAATAGTTGCTCGATACAGGCTCTTTTCAAGATTCTAAATGTGGAAAGCTATTCGTAGGAAGCTGGTAGTGTGTGTTTTGTGGAATTCAAGCTAATGTCCTGGGGTCAAGATTTTTGGAAAGTCGTAATTCAGTCTTTAGATTTCATATGGTTGTTATGCTTTAATCTGGAAAGAGTGCAGAAATAAGTCAGGAGAAATTTGAGACTGTCTCCTCATGGGCCCTAATGGTAACTCAGATGGAAGGATTGTTTTGAATCATGAAAAGGGAATTTCTTGGTGTCAGCTTCTAAGATTCTGAAGTCACACAGAGCTCAGGGATACAAGCACTATTTAAATGAGGCCTCCGTCGCCCCCCTTCTTGGAAAATGCACCTGCATTCGGCGTCATGTTGTGATCTCTGTTTTTGTGTAGAAATGCTTGGCAACATCCTACGAGCCGAGTGAGCTGAAATCACCGTTTAAAAAAACTCTTTCCGTGTCCAGGATCTAGAACCCTGAGGAATAGGAGTCTTGTTTCTTTGGTCCAAGTACAAACTTCATGGGGAAGCAGACAAAACATTGAAGCAGGTGGAAGGCTGGGAAGGCACAGCAACTTCTTTTTATAAAGTAATTCGAAGGCACTTTCAAATCAGGCATCACTTAGGTGTCAAAAGCTGCGAAAATGTAACACACATTGCAATTTTCACAGATGACTAATCTCAGGAAAAATGTGTTGGGCGCATTCTTGCATAATAACTTGGATAAAAAGGGAGAAGTGAAAAGACTGTAACAAGACATTTTCAAAGACAGTGCACCTTGCCTCTCTTTAAGGGGGTGCCCGAGACAGATCAATGATTTGCTCTCTTTGTTTGCAGTGGGCTTGGCTGGACGTGGTTCTGTTAAGTGCTTAATCTGAATGTGGCTTGGGGGGAGAAAGAAAAAGTGGAGTCTCCGTCATCAGGGCTTCGACAGATTTCTGATCCTGTCCATCTGTTGCTCATTGACCCCTTTAATACAGGAGAGAGATTTGGTGGTTTGAAAAGTCGAGCATCACTTTTATTTCTCAGATCTGTGCTATATTCAGTTTTTAAATTTGTATTTGGTCAACAAAACACCCTAGACTTTCTCCTAGGCTTTTGTGAGTCCAGGAGAAACGAGTTTCTTTGGAGCAAAATTGGAAGTCAAAGTCAATGGGTGGTTTTCACCTGGGCCGGGGTGGGGAGAGATGGAGCAGGAGGAGAAAACTGAAAACTACTATTTGTTCTCATTAAGTAAAGGTGAGTGCGTTTTCCATAGGAACAGAGAGCAAGCAGCGGCACTGGAAGTGAAAAGTCAGCTGAGGGACCCTTACGATTTACTACTGCAAAGTCGTCTCTGTTTGGGAAAACGTAGACTTGGACTTCCACGAAATGAGTTCCAGCCTTATGTCAATCCGCTAAAGACCTGGTCCTTGGGCACAAAGGTGCTTACTTCCTAGCCTGTCATCACACATGACAATCCCACCTCCAGAGACTTTCAGGACTCTCATTGCTAGGCAACAGGATCTCTCTGTATCCCCCAGAGTAAACCTGTGTCTTCAAGTCAGAATCACTTGCGCTAACAGAGATGTTATCAGGCGTTTCTGCCTAGTGGCTGCTTTCAGTGTGTGAAGTGACGGAATAAGCCCAAACAGTCTCCAGAAACTGGGATCCCTTTCAGATGATTAGAAGGGCTGTCTGCTCAGTTTTATCTTTTAAACAAAATAGTCGGTGCTTTTGGATTTCAACTTGTCATCAAGGGCTCTCATATTCTCTCAACATGCACCTGCTGTTCAATTAATATTAACGTTCTGCGTTCATGCGAAATGCTCTCCCGACATGTCCGCGTTCTTAAAGCTTCATGGCAAACCTTGGAGTTAGAAAGTCTTTCTTCTGCCTAATCACCTGCAGCAAGTAGCGAAGGCAAAGGAAGAGAATAAGAGGAGAGAGGTAGCTCTGTAAAGTAGAATATTCCAGATCGCTGGCAAAAAATAGGGGAAGGGAGACCTGAGATTTCAGCTGAAAGACTGTCACGAACAACTAACTCTTCTGTGTTTAATGACTTCATGCTTCTAAATAATATAAGAAAATATTTTCTTATCTCTCTATTTCTCTGGGGCTACAAGGAAACGAAAAACCCAGTAATTCAACGTAGAGGACATTTATCTATATCTGACCCTGTGTCTGGCTAGGAAATGTTGCCTTAGGGAGTAGACTTCATTTTTCCATGACTTCTTTTGTAACGAACGATCTCTCTCTCTCTCTCTCTCTTTTTTTTTTGGTAGGACCTGTTCTCTGGATGTCAGCTGAGTTACTAAGGTGACTCTGCACGCCAGGAGAGAGACCTTGGTAGAAAGAACCTTAAGGCTCTTGGAGACCCCCATCTCTCCTTCTTTTCTGTGTGTGTGGGTCTTCACTGAACATTCAAACCTGTTTCTCCAAAGGGTTTTGCAAAAACTCAGACTGTTTTCCAAAGCAGAAGCGCTGGCGTCCACAGCAGAAGTGATGGGCAGCGTACGCACCAACCGCTACAGCATCGTCTCTTCGGAGGAGGACGGCATGAAGCTGGCCACCCTGGCGGTGGCCAATGGCTTTGGGAACGGGAAGAGTAAAGTCCACACTCGACAGCAGTGCCGGAGCCGCTTTGTGAAGAAGGACGGCCACTGCAACGTGCAGTTCATCAACGTGGGCGAGAAGGGCCAGCGGTACCTGGCGGACATCTTCACCACGTGTGTGGACATCCGCTGGCGGTGGATGTTGGTTATCTTCTGCCTGGCTTTCGTTCTCTCCTGGCTGTTTTTCGGCTGCGTGTTTTGGTTGATAGCGCTGCTCCACGGGGACCTGGACGCATCCAAGGAGAGCAAAGCGTGCGTGTCCGAGGTCAACAGCTTCACGGCCGCTTTCCTCTTCTCCATCGAGACGCAGACCACCATAGGCTACGGCTTCCGCTGCGTCACAGACGAGTGCCCCGTGGCTGTTTTCATGGTGGTCTTCCAGTCCATCGTGGGCTGCATCATCGACGCCTTTATCATTGGCGCGGTCATGGCCAAGATGGCCAAGCCCAAGAAGAGAAACGAGACCCTGGTCTTCAGCCACAACGCCGTGATCGCCATGAGGGATGGCAAGCTCTGTCTGATGTGGCGGGTGGGCAACCTTCGGAAAAGCCACCTGGTGGAAGCTCATGTGCGAGCACAGCTCCTCAAATCCAGGATTACTTCCGAAGGGGAGTACATCCCCCTGGATCAAATAGACATCAACGTCGGCTTTGACAGCGGCATTGACCGCATATTTCTGGTGTCCCCCATCACCATCGTCCACGAGATAGACGAGGACAGCCCTTTATACGATCTGAGCAAACAGGACATCGACAACGCGGACTTTGAGATCGTGGTGATACTCGAAGGCATGGTGGAAGCCACGGCCATGACCACGCAGTGCCGGAGCTCATACCTGGCCAACGAAATCCTCTGGGGCCACCGCTACGAGCCCGTCCTCTTCGAGGAGAAGCATTACTACAAAGTAGACTATTCGAGGTTCCACAAGACTTACGAAGTACCCAACACTCCCCTTTGTAGCGCCAGGGACTTAGCGGAGAAGAAATACATCCTCTCCAGCGCTAATTCCTTTTGCTATGAAAATGAGGTTGCCCTCACAAGCAAAGAGGAAGAAGACAGTGAAAATGGGGTCCCAGAGAGCACGAGTACGGACACACCCCCTGACATAGACCTTCACAACCAGGCAAGTGTACCCCTAGAGCCCAGGCCCTTACGGCGAGAGTCGGAGATATGACTAATTCCTCCTCGGGAATAGTTACTTTGAAACGCAGTCTGTTGGTCAAAGGCCCAAAGCAGTTACGCAGACGACGGTACTGGTGAAGAGGTGGTTTGAGACAAGTGACCACGAGGGACTGAGGCTAGCATGATGCTTTCAAAGAAAGACTGTAGGCTCAGAGATGAACCTAAAGCACTAAACATGCCTGCCCCCCCGTGACCCGATGGCACATAACACGTTGTAGAATAAGTTATGGGACGTTTATGTCTTGTCTTGTGTTTTCATACCAAACTTGAACTTGCAGGCAAGCCTTGGTTGGTTGGGTATTTGACGTCTCCAGAATGCTTCTCTTTAGGGAACAAGAATGTTTTTAAATGGCATCACATTTTTAAATGTTTTCAAGGCAAGACTCTGCCTTAACTTTTGAAAAGCTGCTAACTACACGAACACACGTTGTACTGTTGCAGTGTAGTTTTTCTTGTGTGTAATTTAAAAAGTCAGTGTTGAACTTTCTCGAGAGCTCATGGTATGCGCTTCAAAGTGGCAGGTATTTGGCTGTTAGTGGCCAAAACGAGAGCCTGATTTTTTGAGGCCAGTAATCTGTTTGCTAGAATTGATTTCTCTCTCTCTCTCTCTGTCTCTCTCTGTCTCTCTCTGTCACTCTCTTTCCGGTTACATAAGGGCATTATGTAACGCTAGCCAAATGGTAGCCTCTGGGTTGTCGTTATTGGTTTTTTTTTTTCCTCCATGATGTTAATGGGTGATCTCAAATTTTAAGTTAGACTACCTGAAATAAATACCAAAGATAATGCACATTTTTGCACAGTGGAGCTTATACTAAAAAGGAAAGAAAGCCCCACGGCTGCCTTGAAGTCAAGAGACAATAACTTTGAACCTCAGCAAGACCGTGAACTGCCCTCTCCTTTTGCACCTTATTCAGAAAACAGAACATCACACACACAGTCGAGTAAGCGCCGTGCTTTACATCTCTGTTCCTTCGTGTAACTTTCACGTTATAGGAGGAAGAAGACAGGGGAAGAAAAGTTCACACGCACACGATATAAACATCTTTTCTTTCCTTTGAGGTGGTGCTAGCCAGGTGAACGCATACGACGTTGAGAGACGGTGATATCAGTGCCCTTAGATTTTTTTTCTGGGTTTTTCCATGTTTTGCACATTCCAAAATTTATTCCAGAAGACAAGACCTAGGTTGAAATGAGCTGGCATCCTTGACGCTGAGCCATCCAGCTTGAAAGATCAATAGGTTTATACCCCTGTGGCTGAATTCCTTGCCCTGACAGCTGGTACATCTCCAGCTTAACTGCCTCTTCCAAAAGATGCCACGCCTGGCCTCTAGGCTGGCTCTTACGATCAGGCTGTCTGGACTGAGTCCTACAGCATCCCAGGGGGCTGGGAATGCCCAAGTGGGAAGGTGGGAAGATGCCGAAGAGCCGTTTTGACGTAGCTCATCAGCTCAAGTATTCAGGAGGGAGGGGAACACTGCTTTTTTTTTTTTTTTTTTTTTTTTCCTAATGGTACAGAGTAGGAATTGAAAATGTCTCAGTAATGTAGGGTCAACAAGAGCCATAAAAATTCTAAGAGACTCACAAGTAAAGGAGATAATGATCTAAAAGGGTCCTTTCCCCCTGAGGGATGCACGCTCACGATTGAATCCGAGCTGACCCCTTCGCCCGCGGAGCCCTAGAGCAGGCTACTTAGGGCACATTGTTTTCCAGAAGCCTCTCCCGCCTGGCTGCCTGACTTGCTAGACACATTTTGTTTTGTCTTGTTTTCCGCTCTAGCTCAACATAATGGAACTCTCTTTTGGTTTAAAGTTCCTTATTTGTGAATTCTGGGGTTGCTGACTTTTCTTTTTAATTGGCGTCTCAAAATCAACTCTCTTACGGTATTCTATCCCTGTATGCCATTAAAAAACAGCTTGTTCTAGAATCCTGTATTTTGTAAACTGTTGTCTGTGATGGTCTATGGTTCTCGAACAGCCATATCTGAATGCAGTGCCTGCAATAATTGGACAGTCTCTGCTGTTCTCAGCCTTCAGAGTCGATGGGTTTGAACACTGTGGAGTTCTTTTCACTGAAACCAAGTTAGAGATATCAAGCAAGTGGATGTTATTTTAAGTCCAAACTTAAAGGCAGATTAGGGAAGTTGTTTAGAGAGGTGGAGGGATTGCGTGGATACAGAATTTACATTCTTCTGTAAACGGCAAATGTTCGGCCATTGACAGGATGCTGACGGTTTCAGCTGCTGCTATTTCGATATTTTTGCAAAGGAAAATAATCAAACCAAAGAGTATTCAGTGGTCTGTAAATTAAATGATGATTCAGTGGAGAATGGGGGTGACCACAGAAAAGGCACCTTCCCATCACACAGCTCTGCCACTTAAAAAGACTTGAGATATTTGAAAGGGGGTGGGTAGGGGGCAAGAATGAGGGAGGGAACTCTTGCAACTTCTTTCTGAAAAAGAGAAAAAAAAAATCTAAAATTTCTGGTGCACAGGTTTGTTTTTTTTTTTTCAAGAAAATTTTGCAGAAGCTATGTTTTTAAAGTGTACATTTTATAAAGTTTATCAGATATTTTCATATTTAAAGCCAAATGTAAATAGAAGTCTGTAAAGGGAAAAAAGTTGCCATAGAAAGTATAATTTCAGTGCAGCCATTTCTGAGAGCTGGTACCTATATGCTACCGGTTAGCATGGTTTTAGCAAATATTTACCAGCCTTATAAGGTTCGTATTGCTATGTTCTTCTGTTATTTATTTCAGCATGGACTGTTGATTTGAAAGCTTTTTCTAGTTATTAGTATTTTCACAGTGACAATTTTTTTTTTCTTTTTGTCAAGAGCCAAGACACAGGTGATGCACAACGGTTTTTGTTTTTGTTTTTGCTGCATTTTACCTTCAAAACATTTGTCATTGACTGGGTTTCCTTAATTAGTGCACACATGTCATTAGAATGCAGGTTGAAGAGACTCACTGTGAATATCTGGGGTCTGTTCCGGGATCTGTGTTGGCTTCTCCGTGACAAGCAAACCCCCACTGAATTTACTTAGGAATTATTCCCTTTTAAAGAATTTTTGCCCATATCTGGATGGGCATTATATTTTTGGGAGGGGGACTAGATTCCTGGTTATCCTATTTTTAAAGAAAAGGTAGACAAAGTGAATTCTATTTTGATTATTGAGAAAGGAATAGTTTTCTATCCCTCTAAGAGTATACTTGAATCAGACATTTTAAGGATGTCACCCATAACTCTGAAACCATTTCCAAATTCCTGGTGAAAGTTTGTTTTATCTTTTTTTTTTTTCAATTCTATCAATGCATTATTTCTTCCCTTCACTTCCTTTCTTCCCTGTCAACTCCCACCTCAAACCTTGATGTTTATTCAATGAGTTCTGTCCCCTAAATCACGTCACTCTTACAAAAAACAAATGTTGGTTCATATTTGATGGTAAGCCACTCAGTAAAGGTAAAAAGCTTGTTCTGAGAAACAGAGTGAGTGTTTTTTCACTCTGTGTCCAATAATGTTAAGGTTAAAAAAAAAAGAAAAAAAAAAAGTGTTGCATAGTCACTCACTCCCAACTAGAATCCCTTTTCTAGTTATGTTGGGTTTCAGCTCTGGGGCTGCGGTGAATTGAACCATCCCGGCCTTTGACAATCGTGAGAGTTATTATTTTCCCGTTTGCTGTCTTTTTGTATCTAAAGTCTTCCTAATGTACTGCACAAACCATGGATTGTACATATTTTTATATATTATGTCTTATTTTATTATTTCTAAATAAAAAATTAAAAATTGAAAACAAAGCAGTGCAAGAATCTTTGGGCTCCCTGTATGGTCACCGTAGCATCCCTGAGATAGGAAGCAAAGGTTCCCAAACAAGAGGGCATAAACCCTGATAGTTTGGATAAATAGAACCGATCACCGAAACAGGTGGGGGGCAGATTACTCTAATGCATGTAAGAGGAAGTCAAGCTTGTATTTTGTTTCTGGACAGAATGGCCTAGAGAGAAAAGACCGAGAAACAAGCAAACAAAACTAGCAAAACGTGTAAGGTTTAGATTTTGAGTCTCTGTGTTAACAACGGAAGTTACTCGTTATTGAGCCTAACTGGGTAGGGTTCTGGCTTTCTATTATTTCATTCCCCCGAAACCAAATCAGGTTATTATATTCTCGTGTAATAGATCAGAGTTGGCAAATATGTTCCCTAAAAGGCCAGATAGTAAATATTTCTGGCTTTGTGGAACAGTCTTTGTCAGAACTATGCAGCTCTGCCCTGGTACTACAAAATCAACCACGGAGAATACAACAGCAAATGGTGCGGCTGTCTGTCAATAAAACTTTACGTATACAAACGGCTGGAGGGCCAGATTTGGCACATGGTCTGTAATTTATTGACCTCTGTTATACAGGAAGAAACTGAGGCTGGATTTGAAAGCTAATAAATCATCGAGCGGGTATTCAGATTCAGGTTTTATGTGCTTCTAAATTTAGTTTAATCCACGAAGCTATAGAGCGTTTCAGGGTACCAAGGATCTGTGGTCTCAGAGAAAATGTCAATTCCTCTGGCAAATTTCAAATAGCTTAACTGTTTTCCACCATTGGAAACACTGAGGAAAATCCCCATCCTGAAATATGGGTTGCTCCTTAATGTTTTTCCTTTAACAAATATTTTTCTTTTAACAAAGCCCTTACAATGTTTTGAGGATGGTTCTACATTCTTTATGAGTATTGAATAATTTAATCTTAAGAGCAACCCTGTGGCTTCTGCACGATTATTATCCCTATTTAAGAAACGAGGGGACTTCCCTGGCAGTCCAGGGGTTAGGACTCTGTGCTACCACTGCAGAGGGCCCGGGTTTGATCCCTGGTTGGGAAACTAAGATCCCACAAGCCATGCAGTGTGACCAAAAAAAAAAAAAAAAAAACGGGAAATGAGGTCACTGAGGCCCAGAGAGGTTGAGTGTCTTGTGTAAGCACACACAGCTAGTAAGTACTAGAGCTGAGCCTTAAACTGAGGCCATTTAATTTGCAGCAACATGGATGGATCTAGAGATTATCACACTGAGTGAAGTAAGTCAGACAGAGAAAGACAAATACCATATGATATCGTTTATATGTGGAATCTAAAATATGACACAAATGAACTTAACTATGAAACACAAACAGACTCACAGACATAGAGAACAGACTTGTGGTTGCCAAGTGGGGAGGTGGGGGAGGGATGGATTGGGAGTTTGGGGTGAGCAGATGCAAACTATTCCTATATATAGAAGGGATAAACAACACGGTCCTACTGTATAAGCACAGGGAACTGTTTTCAAGCTCCTGGGATAAACCATAATGGAAAAGAATATGAGAAAGAATGTATATATGTGTGTAACTGAATCACCTTGCTGTACAGCAGAAATTAACACAATATTGTAAATCACCTATATTTCGATTAAAAAAATAAATGGAGGCCGTTTAGCACTGGGCTGAGCTTTTTATCATTATACTACGCTTTCCATTTGGAGGCATTCTTGGGAAGAGTTTCATCATTTCGTTTCAGGCCTCTCTGCTTCTCACTTTTTATTCTCCTTGGTGATGAAAATGCATTCTTTTTCTCCACATAGGAGACTAGACATGAGCACCCACCTCCTTCATAACCTGCTCTACAATTGCTCCTTTGGTTCCTGAGGAGAGAGGACAACTCACAAAGGTAGATTAATTACGAATAAGCATCAGTGGTGGGATTTAGGTAAATTTCAAACTTCAGCTTAATTTCAGTTAACTAGGAATCGCTGAGGTCTGTCCCGAGGTGAAACCACAAAGCTCTGTTACTAACCAAGCGGCAGGCACCCCACCACATCCCACACTTCTGCTTTCCTCCAGCTGTGGGCCGCCAAAGGTGTAACATGATCCGCTTGGTGATCGGTCCCATTAAACAAGATACGGGATGGTAACTCCAGGCAACAGGTTGAGCGCTCTATGAGTCCCACCTCTACTTTAAAAAAAAGAAAATTAAATTGTACAAAGAGAAAGGGTGAGGGTAGAATTTCAGAGGTTTTCTGCTTAGGCCTTTTCAGTGAAAGCCAAGCAAGGCCTCCCAACTCCAGCCTCTTTAAGCAACAACCTCTAGCTAATACTCAAAAAGAAGAAAACGTGTTTCTCTCTAGAAATTTCCATATTAAAGCTCGAAACACTGACTACATCAATCAGATTTGCTTTCCCCAATTAAAAGAAACGAAATAAAAAGAGAAACCTAGCTTTATGCATTTTGAGTGAGCAAAGGAGCCTAGTGACCTGATGATTTGAGCCACTATATGAGGTTTGTTATAATGACTTAAACATTTTTATATAATTATAAGGTGATACCTACAAGGCATGGGTGAATAAAACTATCATAGTACCTGGCTCTGGAATAGGTTGACCAGCTGTCCTGGTCTGTTTGGGACACAGGGTTTCCCCAGGATGCGAGATGGGCAGTCCTAGAACTGGAAAAGTCAGTCATCTGCTTTGGAGGCTAGAGGAGTACAAGTGTTGGGAAAGTGAAGAGAGAAAAGGTGAGCCAGACTCAGCACACGTGTTACTAAATAGTAAGAATAATAATGATGGATAATTACACATAAGTGGTTCTCTTGGAATAACTGAAGTTTGTTGCCTCGAGGGCATTCATTGTTTTGGAGGAATGGTTTGCTAAAATATTATACAATTCTCTGCCTCATTCAAAAAATAGTGTGTATTATTTAACGTTTCTTTATGTGGTTCAAGCTACTAGGTACATCTCTTCCTGGTGGGGTGTGCTTTGAAGTCTGTCCATTAAACAATCAGCTACTATTTTGTCCTTAGCACCATTTAGGTTCTTTTCTTTTTTTTTTTCCCCCCCGTACGCGGGCCTCTCACTGTTGCGGCCTCTCCCGTTGCGGAGCACAGGCTCCGGACGCACAGGCTCAGCGGCCATGGCTCATGGGCCCAGCCGCTCCGCGGCATGTGGGATCCTCCCGGACCGGGGCACGAACTCGTGTCCCCTGCATCGTCAGGCAGACTCCCAACCACTGCGCCACCAGGGAAGACCCCATTTAGGTTTTTGCTTCTCTTTGCTGTTTTGAGGAAATCAGATAATCCATTATAAAGACTATATGACTAATAATAGCCGGAAAGGTACAGGTGAGACACAAAAGACCTGGCTTGAGCATAGAGTTTTTGTGGTGATGGTACTAACTTTCAGAGATCTTTTTTATTTCAAGTGTGAAATTACATTCTGAATGGTTGACTCTGTTAATGGGTTTGGCTTCTAGAAAATTCTGTTCAATTTGACCAAAAATTTATTGAGGAATTATTATATGGTGCTGGTTACTCAAAACTTTCTGTATGGATTTTGTCTTCAATAGGACACAGTTTGGAAAAAGGGTGGTACCACTATATATTCATTTTGTCTTAAAACTGAGTTTTATATACAAAATGTCTCTGTATAATTATAAGTACCAGTTGTTGAATACTTATGACTTATTAGGCACTGCACAGAGATCTTCACTTGATTAAATATTTTTCCAGGGTTGTGACCATGGATTCAAATATTTCTGCAACACCTTATTGGGAATCATTTGAGGTAGTTTTGTAAAAACTTTGTCCCCTAAGATGCTGTTCCTTTACTTCTTCCTGCTAAATGACCGCTCTGACCCCAGACACTGCTTAGATTAGGTCTGTGAAATTATCCTCGCCTTTGGGCAAGTATCTGGGTTCCCTGCTGTATAACGAACAAATGAATCAAATCTCACACTGTGTCGTTCTATTTGGCTTTTGTTTTTCAAATTTTTGCTAAAACACTTGTATGTTTAAAGTCCCAGTTAAGCAACGTTTTATTTGATCCTGCAGTCAAAGAAAGCATGTTTCACTAAATAGCATCTAGGAGTTTCCTTTAAAATATATGAACAGCTGCATTAGGCACTTAGACCCATGAAAACAGATTATGTACCAATAGAGACATTTCAAAGGCAAGTGTGGACACATCCCTGACAACACTTGGCAAAGCACCCTCAGATGACAACCATTCATACAAAAACTAAGGAGAGAGGCTTCCCTGGTGGCACAGTGGTTAAGAATCTGCCTGCCAAGGCAGGGGACACGGGTTTGAGCTCTGGTCCGGGAAGATTCCACATGCCGCGGAGCAACGAAGCCTGTGCGCCACAACTACTGGGCCTGCGCTCTAGAGCCCACGATCCACAACTACTGAGCCTGCGTTCTAGAGCCCACGAGCCACAACTACTGAGACCGCAAGCCACAACTACTGAAGCCCGCGCTCCTAGAGCCCATGCTCCGCAACAAGAGAAGCCACCGCCATGAGAAGCCCGTGCACCGCAACGAAGAGTAGCCCCCGCTCGCTGCAACCAGAGAAAGCCCGCACGCAGCAACAAAGACCTAGCACAGCCAAAAAATAAAAATAGAAAATAAATTTATTAAAAAAAAAACAAAACTAAGGAAAGTGGATCCTCCGTGCCGAGGTTTTCTTCAGTCCTGCCATGAGCTCTTGGTGGTCAGAGGCCTCCTCCCTTCCTTTGCAGGCTCCGCTGAAAGTTACAGCCTGCATCACTTGGGCACATCCAGTCAATGAGGCAGCTGAAGAAGATGCCCCAGGGTTGCCATGGAAACAGAAAGAAGCATCGAAGCACCTTCTCCTGCATACTCCTTAATTTAATCTGAGTGACTTTATTCAAGAACCAAAAATAAAACGTGCACCAGGATGTAATTATATAAAGAGCTGTGTTGGATGATAAATACAGTATGTACTTTTGCCTTGGTGTACAGCTCTCTTCTCCCTTC